AGAGATGATCTAGTAGTTACGAGCACTGCCTGTTCCTCCAGAGGTCCTGAGTTCAATTCCCAGCTTTTCCACACTCCACTCTGTTAAAGCAGGTGGTTTTATTTAAGCCTGGAATCAAAGCCTGGTTTCCCAAGCTACCCTTTCTTCTGAGTCTCATGTATAAGGCACATGGGTTTTGAACCTGGGTTGTCTCATCCTTATTCATCTGTCTTCTGTTCAAGTGTCTGCCCCATGAAGGCCTGAAAAACTTTCCTCTCAAACGTTCCGGCAGACATTGCTCTACCAGTGGATGTGGTTTGTCCCCTAGCAGGTCACCGGAGGGAAATCTGGTCTACATTGTTGAGTGGTGCTGAAGAAGGTGCTTGTTGGGGCGGGGTGGGGGGAAGGTAGGGAGAGGTGGCTCAGAGGTTAAGAGCACTGGCTGCTCTTCCAGGGGTCCTGAGTTCAATTCCCAGCAACCACATGGTGGCTCACAACTATCTGTAATGAGATCTGGAGCCCTCTACTAGCATTAAAGAGATAGAGCACTCATATACAATAAATAAATAGAAAATTTAAAAAAGGAGGTGTAAGTGGAGGGGCCCTTCATAAAGGGCCTGCCCTCAGAAGCGGATAAGGTAATTCTGTGGGACCACTCAGCTTGTTCTAGGAATAAAGTAGTATATTGGTCAAGTCAGGGTTCTCTAAAGGAAGAGAACTGAAAGTGTGTGTGTGTGTGTTACAGACTGTGGTCCAGGTAGTCCAACATCTGTCTCTTGCAGAATGATCAAGAACCCCGAAGTTACTCAGTCCATGAGATGGCGTGTCTCAGCAGCCCCAATTTTGTGCTGGATCTAGAGGGTTCCTAGAGCGCCGCTGGTCTTCAGTCTGAGGTGGAGTCCTGGGGAAGGAAGTGCAGCCACTAGGAAGAAAATGCCTCAGCAACGGGGCAGGTGAACAGAGTGAGGGCCGGCGGGCAAGCGCAACACCTCCACGTCCTTTCACGTGGGTTGCCACCAGAAGGTGTGGCCCAGAGTGAGGCTGGGTCCTTCCATCCCAGAGGACGTGGTCAGGACGATCCCTCACAGGTGTGTCCAGCTGCTTGGGTTTTAGTTGATTCCAGATGTGGTCAGGCTGACACCCAAGATCAGTCATCCCAGGGGGTGAAGCCTTATAAAGAGTGAGGGCTGGCAGCCCCTCCCCTCACGCCAGCCTCCTGCCTTGATGGTCTTCCTGTGTCCCCAGCACTGCAGAGTCTCTGCCCTGAGTCAATGCTACCACCACCCCCTTGAACTTCCAGAACCTTGAGCTAAAATAAACTTTTTATTCCTTAGTATGTTCCTTTACCCTCAGTTTTTAATTTTGTTTTGTTTTTTATTGCAGCAATGGAAATAGACAAATCTAATCCCCCAAACTGGCAGGAGAATCTGAAGAAATAAAGAGCACATTGCGGCTGGGCGTTGGTGGCGCACGCTTTTAATCCCAGCACTCCGGAGGCAGAGGCAGGCGGATCTCTGTGAGTTCGAGGCCAGCCTGCTCTACAGAGCGAGTGCCAGGACAGCCTCCAAAACAATACAGAGAAACCCTGTCTCGAAAAATCAAAAAAAAAAAAAAAAAGAGCACATTGCTTCACACCTGTAAACCCACTCTCAAGGGGCGGAGGCAAGAGTATCGTGAAGTCAGGCCAGCCCGAAGCTGCAGAGCAAGACCGTATCTAAAAACTGCCCCCAAAAGTAACATGCCGACTGTGAGCCCGAGGCAGTCAGATCATGGTTTCAGGTTCAGCCTAGGCTGCCGAGTGAGACCTTGTCTCAAAATAAAAAGGTTTGAAAGGGCAGGCAAAGTGGTTCAGTGCATAAAAGAGCTGAGCAGCCACCCTGGTGCGTGAGTTCAAACTCTGGACTTGTGTGAAGGTACGAGAGAAGTGACATACAAATGTGATCTTCCCACACGCCCCATGGCACGCACAGCTCTCTCTCTCTCTCTCTCTCTCTCTCTCTCTCTCTCTCTCTCTCTCTCACACACACACACACACACACACACACACACACACGTAATAAATGACAATGTTTAAAGTCCCTGAGGCACATTCAGGGTGAAGGCATAATCTTGATATAGCTACTGGAATTCAAAAGAAGAAAAAAGAATTCAGACTCTGGGGCAGATCAAATTGTCAGCTCAGTGGCAAAAGACCACGGAGAGATGCTGATGGAACTACCCTGAGGGTAGTGTATAAACTAAGTTGTGAGGGACAGGCAAAACAGACCTTCTCAGACAGACTGTCAACTGAACACAGCCCAGGGGCATCCTGGAAGAGAAAATGCCACCATCGTATTAGCCTTGGAGTCAGGTTTTGTTGATCGGTGGTTGATGTAGGAGGGCCCAGCCCACTGTGGGTGGTGGCGTCCCTGCAGGTGGCCCTGGGAGGCATAAGAAAGGTAGCAGACAGAAGTCAAGATCACTGCCTGTCCTTCCAGAGAACCTGGGTTCCGTTTCCACCCACAAGGCAGCTCACAACTCTCGTAACTCCCGGCCCAGGGAGATCTAATGCCCCCTTGTGGCAGCTGGTGGCACTGCACCTGTGTGATATAAAATTAAGAGAGAATGGTAGTTGAGCATAGTCCTAGAGGACACACTGTAAGCAACATTCCTCCGTGGCTCTGCTTCAGTTCCTGCCTCCAGGTTCCTGTTTGAGTTCCTGTCCGTGGAGGATTGGGATCAGGACAAATAAAGTCTTTCTTCCCCGAATTGTTTCTGGTCATTGTTTCTATCATCGTCACAGAAACCTAAGACACCAAACATGAAAAGAGTCGGGACACACATAATGGTCATAACTTCCCTTTCTAAAAAACTTTTTGGTGACGTTTGACAGTCAAGAGAGTTAAGAGGTAAAGAGAAGGAATGCGCGAGGCTTTGACCAGGATGGGGTGAAGCTTGGCAACAGAGCGCATGCGTAGCTTGCACCAGGGCCTGGGTTTCCTCCCCACCACCAACATAGTGGAGGATGCCAACACCACAGCTATTAAATACAAAGGAGACCCACATTTCTGCTGCTAACTGGCTTCAGCTGGGAGACGTTCTCCAGATGAGGGTGGGGTTCCGGTCTGTGAATGCATCTTTACTGGCTCAGCTCCTGGCTGCAGCTGCCAGCGGACCAGTTGAGGGAAGGGATGGCCGACGGGCTGGGTTTCTTCCAGAAAAAACGCTTTGCAGCTTTCCTAACAGTGTCTTCCTCATCCCCACAATGCTTTGGCAACTACGGGGCCTCTGATTCTCCTCCCTTTCAATGCGCTTAGTGCTTCCAGCCACAGGGGAGACCCAAAACCCAGCAGAACATCCCGGAATGCCAGGCATTTGCAATGAGTCACAGCTGCGGAGGTGCCCGCTAGGGCTGTTACAGACTTACAGGGAAGGGGCGGGGTTGTCGGCGCGCACAGCTGCAGAACCAGGCTGGACCCAGCAAGAGGAGGGTGGCGATGGGAACCAGAGGAAGCAGCTGTCTGGGGACCACGGCTCGGGACTTCCCACTAGCCTGCCACATTCCCGAGAGCTTAGAGATCCGCACAGGAAACACAGACTTCTGGGTTAGGGGAATTGCAAACTGGCTTTTGGAAAATGATCCCTGACAGCTTGTAACCAACAATCACCAGGGCCTAGCCGGGAGCTGCGCGGCGCTCTATTTTATCTATTTTAAGCCGAGCTTTAAAAATACAGTGGGCAGTTCCCTGCTTTTCTACTGACAGAGGGCCATTCACTGACTGTGTCTGCCCAAAAGTGCGCCCCTCTTTTGAAGTTCTAGAGGGAGTGTTTGGGTGTGAAAACATTACCCACTTTCATTAACAATTGTGAACAGGGAATTCATTCATAACATTCACCAAAAGCAGTCAAAACCCTGTAAAATAAGAAGCAAGTCCCCAGCTAGTGCCTACCCACTCCGGGCTTCTAGGTCCCTGATCTGGAAGCAAACAAGGTGCCTCTTAGTTCCTCATCTATTTTTACAGAAATATCATCTGAGTACACAAGGATGCCTACAATGTGTCAGGTTTTGTGCAAATATAAAAAGCATTACACATATTACCTTCTGGAAACAGACACACACAAAAGCGTGCTTTGAAAATACCCCCGTCAACACAAATAGACTGGCCTTGTTTGTTCGTTTGAGCCAGAGATTTAAACAGGACCTTGTTTACGTGTGTTGCCTATTTTTAGTCTTTCCTTATTATAAACTGCGCATGTGTTGTGGGGGAGTAGGGTCCCTCCCTTCACGCTGTGGGTTCAGGGGGGTAGAACTCAGGTCACCAGGCTTGATAATGTGTGACTTCACTGGCTGGGCCACCTTGCCAGACCTGTGCAGCTGTCTTTGAACGTATATTATGGAGGGGTATACTCTCGGGGTGGAGGTTGCGGTGCAAACGTTAACTCTTTCTGCCTTTGTTATTTGCGGCAAGATTTTGTGATACGCCCCCAGCCGACCTAGTGCTTGCTCTGTAGTGCAGGCTGGTCTCAGAAGTGAGACACCCTTTCTTCCTCATCTTCCCTAGTGCTGAGACTGCAGGCGAGCATTGCCACACCTGGTTCTCAGCTCTGGCGTTTTCACAGCTCTCTCATGGCAAATCATAACCACATGCAGGGGAACATCTTTCTCTGCCATCCCTTAGCACAGGATAGTCTAACGCTTCCACGTTTGCCAGCTGATAGGTTCAAAAACGGTATTCAGAGGCCTAACCCTGCAAGCTGTCCTCTGCCCTCCGTGAGGGCGCTGTGACACGCGCTCTTTCAAGAGTGTGCACACACAGCACAAAGTGACCATAAAATGAGTAAGGAAATGTGATTTCTAATGGTGAGGCACATTCCATCGCAATTTTGATGTGGTTTCTTATGGAGCTGAACAGTCTTGCCTGTATCTGAGAGCTGTTTGCATCTTCTGTCTCGTAAGGCGTGTGCTCTGCCTACTGCTGTTTTGAGCAGCTAGGCTCTATCTATAAGGAAATCACCCTTTGTCAATGCAACCTTGGAAGTTTTTAATTTTTTTTCTTTACATCCTACTTTCTGCATTAAGTTCATACAGAAGTCTTTTTTTTTATGCCATTGAGTTTGTCTTTTCTTTCTTAGCACGGGGCAAAAGAAACTGCCCCATCACTCTCGGGATCTCAGCGACATTGACTATGTGAAGTAAATTGACAGCAGACAGCAGCAGAAAGACCTTCTGCACTCCCTGCAAAGGACCACAGGGAAGAAAAGCAAGCACCCAACAACCCAAGAAACGTCAAACTACCTCCTCTAATGATTTTGGGGAGACTGGGGTTTGATCGCCTCTAATGATTTTGGGGAGACTGGGGTTTGATCGCCTGCGACTACTGTCTGTTTGCTCATCTTTGGTCTTCTTCCATGTGAAATGAGGCAGTCTCCCAAGATGATGAGATTCCTAGGAAGGGCGTGCAGAGCGGTTGACCTCATCGTGTTGGATCCGGCCAAAGGCAGACAGGGAAACTTGCAGCAAGTCTTCCCCACACTGCAAAGAAGGAAAGACAAGATTTCACGGGAGCAGGAGAGCAGTGAGGTCTCGACTATATTTTGGTTAAACCTGAAGGCACCGTGCTCTGAGGTACCAGTCTTTGAGTCCCAACATTGGCATCTACAAAGCTTAGCATTTAGATAACATTTCCTTGAAAGTGTGGAAACTGTCCCTAACATTTTCTGCTTGAAGACTGTTTTAGGTCTAGCATGTAAATCTAGCTTTCTCCAGCTGGCAGTCAGTAGCTCTGACCCCATGGACTGGGTTGGGAGTCCAAGAATTGCGCGCCTTCAGGGTCTTTTATTTTATAACACAAAGCTGTTATTAATGTGCCAGGCGGGGCTGCGGGGGGAAGGGAGCAGCAGGGGCTCCACACGGGGAGGATGTGTTTCCATTCACATGGCTATTAGCAGGATCAACTCATTGCAGATTGTCAGATCGAGGGCCACAGCCCCCTGCTGGCTGTCTCCGTGGGCCTCAGCCCCCTGCTGGCTGTCTCCGTGGGCCTCAGCCCCCTGCTGGCTGTCTCCGTGGGCCACCCTGAGTGCTTACTGTTGGCGGTAGCAAGCACCAGGTCAGCACACTTGAAGTTCATCCCCAAATCTTGTAAATCTTTGGTCATGACTGCCAAAGGCCCTGAGATATAACTGAAATCAAAGTGGTATTCTGGGTAAATAAGTGACAGGCTGGGTGGAGTAGAGACTCTAAAAGTTTAACACCGTGGCTAGGATAGAAGGCAGGAGGAAATCCCACAGCAGGATGTCTTTGGCTCCGTCTCTGGCTACATTGTGTGAGCTCGATTTGTTGCATGCTCTTAAGGACCTTCACTATTCTGCTGCTTCTGCTGAGAAGCAAAGGGGACTGTTACCTCGGGCCGAGCATCGTGTAAAGTGGGCTCCAGGAGCGTAGGAGAGGCTGGTCACTGGGCAGAACAGCTTTTACTGGGCTCCTGGCCCTGAGAGGAGACGACAGTGAAGACTGAATCCAGTGACTGCTGTCCTTGTCAGAAGAGAGAGCTTTGAAACTGAGCCACACAAAGAGAAGGACGGGCCGGACACCGTGAGTCTACACTGTGAAGCCGGAAGACTGGGCCACCAGAAGCTGCAAGGGACAATGGAGGGACCTGATCTCCAGCCTCCCCGGAGAACGTGTCCCCAACAACCCTGTGGCTTCAGTCGCCTGACCTCTGGAAGCAGGACAAACAGGATAGCTCACTGCTGTTCTCAGCTACGACTCTCACCCAGCCAAGGGGGAGAGCGTGGTGCTGACACTGTCACCTCCTAGTGTGAGTGACCCCAGTATTCCTCATGATCCCACACTGCAGAGAAAACCCTGAAGCTCATACTGCTAACTGTATAGGTAGATTTCTTTTTAAACAGCCTATTTCTACATGCTTAGAACTCCAGGTTCAAAATATCCAGGAAAATATCATCTGATGGCTCCGGTGAGAGGGAAAAGAGGAAAGAAACAGAAGTAGGAAAAAGTCGTTTTAAAATCTCTGCAAGGTTTCTATTTTGTGTTTGGTTTGGCAAGGTTTTATTGAGATTTAGTAGGGAAGGGGGGTCTCAAAAATTAGGTGCCCCTGTGTGAGATTTCTTAAAACTTATTTGTTTGTTTGTTGGAGAGGGTACATGTGCATACAGAGGTCAGAGGAAAAAATCTATGGAAATTAGTTCTCTCCTTCCGTGATGTGGGTCCTGAGGCTGGAGCTCGGGTCATCTGCCTTGGTGACAAGGGCTATTATCTGCTGAGGCACCTCGTCAGTCCTTGAGTGAACTTTCAGCTTTTGCCTTCCTTTCATCAGAGAGAAAACAGTGGATGACATTCCTAGTGTTCTGTCAACGGTGGAGTGACTTCCACCAGCACTGGACAGTATCTTCTAACCAACAGTCACATAATGAAAATGAAACATGGATTTGTGGATAAGTTTGATAAATATCCGTGGGATTTTAGTGTTTTTGCTACATTGCTACCACTGGGAGTTTGGGTACAAATCCAATTCTTGGATCTCCACGTGTTTCATTTTTGTTAAGTGACTTTGGACTGTAGAGCTGCGCTGTCCTCTTTAATATGAGTGAATGGAAAATAAGACAGGGGCTGGGCACGGTGGCCTAGATGCTTAATGCCAGCACTCAGGAGGCAGAGACTGGCAGGACTCTGTGAGTTCACCTTGGCAAGGCTGAGGGTGTCCCTCAGAGACACACCGCCTGGCCAGCATGCACAGGCCCTTGTGGTTCCCAGCACTAAGAAGGCACACGATTATAATCAGCGGTACAGGTACGTTCTTCCATAAAGGAAGTGGGGTGGACCACGGCCCCCGGACCCGGGCGTCTGGGGATGGTTACAGTTTGAATGTGGAATGTCGTCACACACTCTGTGACTAAACAGCTGGCCCCAGCTATCACACTGTGTTTGGAGAACCTTTTAGGCATGGACATGGAGCCTCGTTGACCAATGAAGGGCCAGAGGGGACCGAGCCCCGGGCTCCAGTTCCAGCCAGGACCCCTGGACTGCCTCTGCAACATCACCAGCTGCCACACCCTCCCACGGCCCCACAACCTACTTATTGGACCACCTTCCCCATGACGGACTGAGCCCCGCAAACTCCGATCCAAAACAAGCCCGTCTTCCCTGAGGTTTGTCTCCCGTGCAATGTCCACAGCAACAGCATGAGTAACGAATAAAGGGCTTATTTGGGCTTTTTCCTAGACACAAAATCCGAAGCAGACTCATGTACGAATGCCACTTTAAAGACAACGATTATTATTATACTTGCCAGGAAATAATTTGGGAGACTCGAGCCAAAGATAAATACAAAATGGCTCATTCTTTCTCTCATTCAAATTCTTGCCTGCGTGTGCTTTATAATCTCTTAGAGGCTGTGGAAAAAGTCTATCATGCAGGGAAATAACTGTCATGATGGGGTCAAAATTGTGTGGGAGTGTGCTTGTGTGAGTCACTCTGATGGTCACAAGAACAGACCACAGGGCCCACAGGACAGGGACTGTGCATCTGGGGAGCGGAGATGCTAACGGACGGCCAGCCCGAGGCGATCGGTCCTGACAGTGCGTCCTGGTGTCTCACTGTCTGCGGCTCCGGGCCATCTGAGCAGCCCAGACTTTCCTCCTACCTTTGCACTCTCGTCTGACTGCTGTTGTCATCTGTTCCCTTTGGGCTGTTAGCCACTTTCAAAGACCCGGCTGGGCCTTACGGAAGATGACAGCCAGGCAGAGACAGGGCACAGCCGGAAGCAGTTCTCACTGTAAAGAGAGAGAAGGGCGCTATGAAATTTAGAATTGTACAATCCTTAGTTGTGCGATTAAGAATTCTTACAGTGCTTAAAAAAATAGAATTGTGTGCTTCTCCACCCGCTCCGCGGCCAGCAAAGCTAACTCTCCATGACTGCAGCATATTCCAAAGACCTGCGTAGAGTACCAAGGGTCCCCAGGCATTTGAGCTCAAGAGCAGTGCAAACACAGCACTTCCCGTTTTTATTACTAAAGCAAGCAAAACAAGGAGTGACATTTACAGTTGGCCTAAGCAAACACAAGCACAGCCAGGGAGTGCACCTGGAGATACGTCTCATCACCTTTGGTGGTGTGAAAAGAGCCAAGAACTTTCCTCCCAGGCCCTTGCTTTTCCCACAGACAATACGGACACGCGGGGTATGACCGTCACGTCCTTGCTTCCGGGTGCATCTACAGCTCAAGCACTTCTTCCTGGAAGGCCACCTTGTAAGTGCGCGGTTCCTGCCCCATCCATGGTTCCCAGTGAGTTCCCAGTCTTCTTACACACACACACACACACACACACACACACACACACACACACACACACACAGCTAATGCCCAGGAGTGTGCTCCAGGCCTCTCAGGACACGCAGCAATCTTCACTCTTAGGAATTACACACCAAGTTCACAAGCCTGCTCAGAGTCATTCGGTCCCATCAAGATCCTGGTTGGGGTTGGAGCGATGACTCAGCTGAGCTCTTGTGGCTCCTCAGATGACCCGCATTTCAGTCCCCAGCCCCTGTGTCAGGCAGCTCACGACTGCCTGAAACCCAGTTCCAGGGGAATCCAAAGCTCTTTTCTGGGCCCCACGCATGAATACACTAACTCATATACAAAAAAGTTGTAAATTAAGCTAACTAAATAAAAAAATTTAAAGCGTTAAGTTTCTTACTTAGTAGGAACCTATTGTGCTAAAAGACACTGTGGTGGTTTGAAAGAAAATGACTCCCAGCCGGGCGTTGGTGGCGCACGCCTTTAATCCCAGCACTCTGGAGGCAGAGGCAGGCGGATCTCTGTGAGTTCGAGACCAGCCTGGTCTCCAGAGTGAGTTCCAGGAAAGGTTCCAAAACTACAGAGAAACCCTGTCTCAAAAAAACAAAAACAACAAAAAGAGAGAGGCGAAGGGGGTGAAAAGGGAGGAAGGGAGGGAGGGGGAAGGAAGGGAGGGACGGAGGAGGGAGGGAGGGAGGGAGCGAGGGAGGGAAGGGAGGCTCCCATAGGGAGCAGCACTATTAGGAGGTGTGGCATTGCTGGAGGAAGTGTGTCACTGTGGTCACCCCTACCATACCCCACACTCATCTGCAAGCTCCCCTGGGACTGCTGTGTGAATAAGAAGCAAAACATGTGGTGTTTGAGTCATTACACATTGTGAGGTCAATCATCTCCTAGAAAACTCTTCGTCTTGGGCGTTTTTGGAGAGGATACATCGAGGAAACTTAACTATAATATTTGTGTCAGATATCCTTCATTTGACCTTCAAAGCTCACCCTCCGACCTCTGCACCCTGAAGACTGACATACTTCATAGCCCTCTTGGCTCTGGGGCCGCCTGAGGCATGAGGATGGAGGGAATGAAATGCGACCTCTCCTTTGGCTGGTTGGTTGACACGGGCCCTGTTAGGTAGCCCAGGCTGACCTCAAGCCCCTCCTGCCTCAACCTGCTGAGTGCTGGGATTACAAGTGCCAGCCACCGCACTGTCTGGTGTTCACAGCTTCTCCCCTGGACTTGCCTTATGTGACTCCCTCCACTCTGGACTCCTATCTCCATGCCCTGCCATTGCCTGAGACCCCTGGAGTGTGGCATCAGGTTACCACAGCATCCCTGGTAAAGATGCTAGACCCACACCTTGACACAGTCCTTCTCAAGTCAACACCCCTGGAATCGCTGTCCCTTGAGAGCACCATCTGTCTCCCATTAGCAATCTGGAGGCTACAACATTGTTTTATCGTCATGCTCGCAGGCAATGGCAGCCAATGCTGTTATTTCCACACCCAGTGAGTACTTGTACTTTTAGAGCAATCAATAGCACTCACTAGCCATAGGTCAAGGCCAATTAAGGTATCTCCCTCTAATGGCACCTCGAAGTCCTCAGCAGCTCCAACTTCACCTCACCACCCAAACCTAATACTAAATGCCCTCAGCCCTCCATCGGGCTCAGCTCCTCAGCCCAGGGTCCAAAGTCCTCTGTTGGTCCCCACACCATCACTACCAATCATAGCTTTCTGCTCTCTCTCCTAGTCTACATCAGATGCCAGAGGGACTCTGTGGTCCTCTCTCTGGAGTCTCCTTCCATGCTCCTTTTCACCTCACGCTTGGTAGCCTTTCAAAACTTGGCCCATTCTTGGACATACGTCCTCAACCAAGATGCGTGACCACCCATATGCTACCCACCTCCCCAGGCTGGCATCAGTCTCCGTATCCACATAGGGTGCTGCACATACTCCGCTAACCAGTTTACTGCTCTCCTGCTCTTTACTTCCGAACTGTGGTCTTCTGGACATCTGAGACTGCCTTTTATTTAGATACGTAGATCCTCACTGCGCAGCCCAGGCTGATCTGTAGGATCCTTCTGCCTACTGGTTGTAGAACACTTTCTTCCAAGTACGACATGGCCATTGGTGTTTTTTTTTTGTTTTGTTTTTTTTTATTTGTTTGTTTGTTTGTTTGTTTTTGGTTTTTTGAGACATGGTTTCTCTGTATCGTTTTGGAGGCTGTCCTGGAACTCGCTCTGTAGACCAGGCTGGCCTCGAACTCACAGAGATCCGCCTGCCTCTGCCTCCCAAGTGCTGGGATTAAAGGCGTGCGCCACCAATGCCCGGCTGGCCATTGGCGTTTTGAAAACAAGCATCTGTGATTAGTCGCACAAAGCCCCCACAATATTGCCTCATGGGAGAGGGGGTTCACAAGGCTCATAGGGTGGGCAGGGCTGACAAGTATCAAACATGGCTCACACCAGGGCTCTCTGATCCCTGAGGATGTGTGAATGGTTGGCAATTGCTAGGAGGGAGTGTCCCCCTCAGTGTTACAGAAATTGTTACTCGAAATTGTTCACACTCCTGTAGGCATCTCTCAGCAATGTTCCTGTAAGTAACTACAGTTGAGTTCACTGTTTTTTTTTTTTTTTTTGGTTTTTACGAGACAGGGTTTCTCTGTAATGTTTTGGAGGCTATCGGTCCAGCCTGGCCTCAAACTCACAGAGATCCGCCTGCCTTTGCCTCCGGAGTGCTGGGATTAAAGGCGTGCGAGTTCACTGCTTTACCGAGCTCAATTTAGGCACAATTGTTTCTTTGGTGTCATTGGTTCATGTCTCATCAAGAAAGGTTCACCCAAAACTGCTTCTCCCAAATCCTGGAATTACAGGCAAGCACCACCACCAGGGCTGGGTTACAGGCAAGCACCACCACCAGGGCTGGGATTAAGGCATGCACCACCACCAGGGCTGGGATTAAGGCATGCACCACCACCAGGGCTGGGTTACAGGCATGCCCCATGATGCCAGGGTTTGGGGTCACAGTCATGCACAACCACGCCGGTACAGAGATCGATGATTCTTAGCGTCACAGTCTCACTCCAGGTACTTTAGAAATGCTTGTTAAATGCAGTCTCTAGTGGTTGCAGGCTTTTACCTCACGAGAGCCTGACCATTCCCACAGCAATAAAGATAAAGCTGAGAAAAGAAGACAGACACCAACACTCCTCTCTTCCCAAAAGAGCCTGGGATATGGAAGGAGAGGGCTGATCTTCACTTCCAGGACCCCATATACACCATGGTCATCACTACACGGTGTCTCTTGGAGGCCTCTCTGCCTCTCTTCCCAGAATTCTCCTCGTCTCCTAGCCCTGCCTATCTTCCTGCTGAAAGACCCCGGCCCAGCGCAGGCAGCTGAGGCTTATGGAAAACTCCTTTCCCCCTCGGCTCAGCCATTTTTTTATCAGGAGGGAGCTCAGCTCAAGGTCTTCGCAGCTGAATAGTCACTACTATCTCTGTCCAGATAGGGGCCCAGGTGTCTATGGTCTGCACAGCCAGCCCAGAAAGATTGGGCAGGCACAGAAACCTTTGTTCTTCAGATAGGGCCAAGGCCGAGAATTGAGTTCTGAGAGAAACCTTAATTGCCTCTCTGTCCAGATGAGAGAAACCTCGTTCTGAGCCCCAGCCTCATTTAAATTACCCAATCAGGGTCCCGTAACTAGGCTTCTCGCTTCTGTACTGCGCTTTTTGCTATAAAAGAACCCCTGAGTCCCCAGCTCGGGGCTCTCAGTTCCCGAGACTGAGATGCCCCGGGTACCCGTGTATTATCAATAAAGCCTCTTGCTGTTGCATCCAAGCTCGTGGCCTCGGTGTTCCTTGGGTTCGGGTCTCCCTCCCGTGAAAGTCCCCCGCCTGGGGTCTTTCACTGCCTGTATTGGCCAAACAGTGTTTTATTCACCAACCAAAAAGAGAAACATATACCCAGAAGGACATCCCCCATTGTGTATGAGTAACAATAATAGCCGAATAAGAGAAGCCATCGATTTGAGAGTAGGTAGGGACATGCTAGGGATTGAAGGGAAGGACATTAGCGGGACTAGAGGAACAGAAGGGGAGGTGTGATACGATTAAATTTTAATTTAAAATGTTAATTAATTAAAATTTTTATTCAAAACGTTAAAGATACTCCCAAATAACAGTGCATACTATAAAGAATAGTTGACAAGCAATGTAACTGCCAATGGCTGTTGTAGAATGATCTTTTTGTACACCGTGAAGATGTGCACTTGGACTGATTTAGTAAAAAGCTGAGGGGCCAATAGTAGGCAGGATTTGGGGGGCAGAGGAAGAAGAAGGAGGGTGCTAGGATACAAGAGGATTAAACAAGAAGCACAAGACGTAAGAGCGGTAATGCCTCCGGGCGGTGGTGTCGCACGCCTTTAATCCCAGCACTCGGGAGGCAGAGGCAGGCAGATCTCTGTGAGTTCCAGACCAGCCTGGTCTACAGAGCGAGTTCCAGGACAGCCTCCAAAGCCACAGAGAAACCCTGTCTCGAAAAAAAAAAAAAAGAGCTAGAATATAGAATAACACAAATGGGTAATAAGAACTAGAACTAGTTAGAAACAAGCCTAAGCTATTGGCTAAGTTTTCATAATTACGTCTCTGTGTGGTTATTTTAGAGCTGGCAGGCGGGACAGAGAAAGACTCCCTACAAATGGCTTTGTCATGGAATGGTCAAAATAGTGTCACCGGCTTTGTCATGGAATGGTCAAAATAGTGTCTACAGAAGGCGAGAACGGGCACCGAGACCAGCAGGTGAGACGGAGTTGGCCATTTGAGGAGCTCAGGGGAAGAACCTTCCGGCAGACTGACTGTGGTCTGTTTGCTTAGCTCTTTGTACTTCTTCCAGGCAAAGTCAACAAGAACCACACCTACTAATTACTGTACCTAACGGGACTTGCAATAAACATCTCTGCCTAAAAGAGGGAACTTTGGATACAAAGGCTCCTTGAAGGCCTGGATTGGACTTGACTCTGAGATACAGGTAAGTTTTGTTTTTTTGTTTTTTTTTTTTTTTTGGTTTTTCGAGACAGGGTTTCTCTGTGGCTTTGGAGGCTGTCCTGGAACTCGCTCTGTAGACCAGGCTGGCCTCGAACTCACAGAGATCCGCCTGCCTCTGCCTCCCGAGTGCTGGGATTAAAGGCATGCGCCACCAACGCCCGGCCCAGGTAAGTTTTTTTATTTTAGATTTTTAAGTAGGCAGTACATTCTCTTGAGTTAAAACCAGTATATGTAAAAATATGACAAAACCTGCACCTAAGTTGTCTCCAGTTTTCCCAATTTCATAGGTAACTGTTTTCTGTTTTTTAAGTATAGTTACTTCCAGAATTAGCTAATGGATGTGCAACAAATGCAAATATGCCTCCTCCCATCTCTTCTTCCTTTACCAAAGATGGAGTAGTTTTCTGAATTTTGCTTTATTTATAATAAGTTTTAGACATCTTTTATTACCTGTTTGCTTTCTTTCCTCTTGTTTTCTCATTATTTTGTACAACTCCATAGCATTCCAGCATGTGGATATAACATGACATCAAACTTACTGAGAGACATTTGAGTTCTTTTTAATGTTTTAAAAATAATTATTTAGTGATGCCCACTTAGTTTCCTATGGTGTTCTATAATTCAACGTATAATTCTTTTAACTTCTGGATTTCATTCTTCATTTCAATAGAGTTTTAATCTCCAAGCCAACTAACACATGACATTTGCTAAAGGATAAATTATTGTTACACCATAGGTCGGTGGCCTAAAAAAATTATTCAACTTTATGAGTTCATTTCTGGGCATGGATCCATAAGAATATTGGCTGATACAGCAAAATATGATTTCATTTCAACTGAGCAGGCAGCATAAGTGTAAACGCTGCAGGGTCGGCCAAGGTCGTTTGGACAAGGCATTCCGGAGCTCCCCCCAGGGAAGATGCTCAACCATTCTGGTCCTTCTGAGTATCAAGAATAATTTTACCTAAATCCTAACACAGCATAGGGACATGAGCTCAGCAGGTCTCCCTGTCACCACAGTACCAAGGATGTTCTGAGAAGAGCACAACTAAGCTATAATCTCAGCATCTGGGAGCGGAAGATAGGAGGATCCAGAGTTCAAGGTCACACTGGACTGCACAGTAATTTCAAGTCCAGCCTGGCCCCAAAAAACAACAAAACAGACCGAGGTCCTCCTAGCCCAGAAGAAAACGCGTGGGCTCCTGTGAGATTATCTTGCATGTATCTACTGGGTGACTGGTGTTCCATCTGGCCCCAGGGGAATTCCACCCAGCTGTCCCCTTCCAGGAAGCTTGGTTGGCAGGGTGCCTAGTGAGGAGAGCAGTCAGGCACCGCACATGCTACCTCTTTCAGAGGGCAGAGTAACAGGCTGGATGGGGCCGTGTTAACACTGGAACTCACACAAGGATTTGTAAGAACTCACTCAAATGTAGATGGAGGGGTCTTCATGAAGCTTTGCGGCCTGGGCAGGGCCCAGACTCAAAACAGAGGGCCTGCAGTCGGAAAGGCTAGACCTCATCCCCTCAGGGGTGGACCTAACAGGCTCAGTGAGCAGGAAGGGAGGGGAGAAGAGGGGAGAGGGAAGGAAGGAGAGAGGAAGAGGAGGACGGAGGCAAAGGAGGCGGGAGGAAGGGCTGTTTCAAGCTTCAGCCTTCCTACCCTTTCTGAGCTACTGAGAGTTGTATTGTGTGTGTTTTGCGGCCTTCCAGAAGGCTCTCCACTTCCTCGTGTTGCTTCTTCCCATTTTACCAGCCATCAGTTTGCAAACTCCAAAGCGGATGAACATTTCTGACGGTCATGAAGGTGAGCTTCTTCCTGTCCGGTGACCCACCAGGCTCTTCCACGTGGTAGCCCGGACGTTAACCTGCAAGCCCCGCCTGCCCAAAGATCAGGTAACTTCCTGAGATTCTGAGAATTGTAGCTCCTGAAAGCTAACACCTGCCCTAGGCCCGGGTAACTTCTTGGGATTGTGGGAATTGTAGTTCTTAGGAACTAACAACAAAGCCTCATGGAAAAGTACAGTGGCCTATGGGTTTTGCCCGTGTAAGCTCCGCCAACGCGTGTCTCGGCGCCACTTACCCGGAAAGTTTCCAGGTGATGGTCCTGGCCATATTCCGTTTTGGTCAGTATGTAATATTTTTAATAAAAACTTGTTTAAATTCAGCCACAATGATGGAACTGGTTTTTCTGGTGAATTTTAGGAAAAACGTAAGAGGCAGGCTGAGTACCACTTATGTGGGGGCATAGCCATGAGCAAAGCCAAAAAATTATGGTTCTGCCAATTTCCATATGGAAGGATGGAGTGTGGGCAAGAAACTTCCAGTAGCCAATAACTGAACATGGGTTAGTTTAGAGAGTCTATTGTTGGGGCTTGTCTGGCTTCTAGCCCTAGTGAATCCTGTCCTGGAGAGCTTTTATCTGATACACACTAAGGCCTTAGCAGGTAGATACCCCTCTCTATCTATTCCTCCTCCTCCTCCCTCCCTCCCCCTTCCTTCCTCTGTGTGTGTGAGTCTGTGTGTGTGTGTCCACGTGCGCTTTCATGTGTATTGAATGCATGAGTGTTCATCCAAATACAGCTAGCCAGTACCAAGCAGTCAGTGCCTCAACCAGATAATTCTCACCATCAGACCCTTACCACACCTCTGGACCCCAACTCCTATCCACTCAGCTTCAGCCTCTATGCAAAATATCAAATGTGCTCAGCCATCAGGACATCTGCATGTACCATTTTACTGTCTGGAATGCGTTGTGGAATGTGACTTTAACTGTGTAAAGGAGTGTTACATTGGTTTATGCTGCATTTGCTAGTGATGTGTGTTTATTTATGAAAAGACGTGTAGCATTTGTTTCATCTTGCTAACGGTACCCTTTGTTCTGATAAAAAGCTGAATGACCAAAAGGGAGGAGGAGAGGAGAGAGGAGAGAGCAAGGGAGATGCTCGGAGCCACCAGGCAGCCACTGGCCTGTAGACACGCGAAGCCGTGGAAGAAGATACACAGAAGCAAAGAAAAGTACAAAGCCCGGAGACAAAAGGTAGATAAGAGAAACAGGCTAATTTAAGAGCTAGCCAGAAACAAGCCTGCGCATGGCCAAGCATTCAAAACTAATATTAAGTCTCCGAGTCATGATTTGGCAGCTGTTTGGTGGCCTGGTACGGAAATACTCTTCCCCAAATATCTGCATGTCTCTTTCTTATTCAGGTGTCTTTGCCCCTCACAGCTTTCTTAAAGCCATTCTGTCTGAATCGTAACCCATCACCCCATGTTTTACAGGTTCCCCCGCCCAGCCCATACATTTTCCCTTCTCCATACTTAGCATTATCTAATGTTTCTTATGAACATTTTCTCTCTCTCTCTAGAGCAGTGGTTCCCAACCTTTAGTCATGACCCCTTGAAGGACGCTTTCACAGGGGTCGCCAAAGACCATAAAAAAAAAAAACACAGATGTTTACAGTTCATAACACTAGCAAAATTACAGTTATCAGTTAGGACAAAATAACTTTATAGTTGAGGGTCAGCCCAACATGAGGAACGGTATTAAAGGTCACAGCATCAGGAAGGCTGAGAACCCTGCTCTAGAGGAAAGTTCTCCGCGAATACTTAGTCTACAAGGGCAAGAATTTTTGTTGTTTTGCTCAGGGTTGTGTCATGAGTATCTGGAACTGTCCCACAAAGATGGTCCCCAGTGAGGATGCTCCCGAGGAAAAAAAGTGCTCCCTGGGTGACGGTACTCCGGATAGACCGGCTGTGCTTGAACCCTTGAAGTGTTTATCATGTGGTTGGCGCTGACTTCTCTTAGATCTTAATCCTGCCTGCGTATCTGCCTGCAATGCGTTCCTCGAAGTACAAGACAGTTCCTCACAAGTGTTAGTTGTGAGTTGGGGTAGGTTTTCAGTAAATGTTTATTTATTGTCCCCTTCCTTTGCGAAGACTTCTGCCTCAGCTCAGAGGAGATGATTTGAAAAGTCAGACGCGGGGCGTTGACTTTGAAGCTCTTGCCTTGTGCTGGATGCGCCTGCTGAGTCACCGCGCAGCTCTGTGAGGTATTTCTGTGAGCCTAAGAATGTGCAAGCCTCCCGTGCTTCCTTCAGGCGGATGCGAAGTGGCCTTTACCCGGGTCCCCTCCTCAGAGGCAGCCTGGGAGCAGACAGCAGGACAACTTCCTCACCTGGTGTCTTGATGAAGCAAATCGGGCCTGAAGTGCTTCGGTGGCCCCAGTCCTGGGTAGAGAAAGCACTTCCCGTGACCACAAAGCCGGCTGGTTCCGCAGGGGCTCTCCTGTGTGAGCCCGGCCTTCTCATTGGCATGTTACGTGTGTCTGGCAGACAGGAGGAAGGGGGAGGGCCAACAGGCGTTTGCAAGCTTTGTTTGATTGCACGTGTCCTGACTGGGAGGGCAATTTCAATGGTGCTTTTCAGGGGACAACATCATCCCCGTGACAGGCCCATATGAAGTTGAGCATCTGCCTGCACCCGGCACTGTGAACAAAAACAGAACAAGTCCCAGCTTCCAGGACCCGCAGCAGATTGAACACCTCGTCTTTATAATTCCTGCCTTAATGGCTGGGAGTATATGCAATGAGAGCATTGGTGGTTGACACTTTTAATCCCTGTAGTCCCAGCACCCGGGAGGCAGAGGCAGGAGGATCAGAGGTTCCAGGTCACCCTCTGGTACACAGCAAACATGAGACCTGTCTGGCTACCTGAGACCTTGTCTGAACATCAAAAGAAGTAGCTAAAGAGACAAGAGCAGAGCTGGACCAATTCTTACTCCTATTGCTAGCACGTGTGAGAGGCGGCCATGCTACCACTGCCCTCTTCCGTCACACCGTAACCCTCTTGGCCCTGGCCTTCCCCAGTTGGCTCCCTCTGCTGGCCAGGTCATAGACTATAGGTACCAATCAGGACTGTAATTAAAGCATAGCACCTCATCACCACACAGGACACAAACTACTAAATGCAAACCAGAAGACATTCACAAGTCATTCAACTTCCCCATTCAGCTCACTTAGGTTGGAACAGCATGCCTTGCTTGCTACCAAGAGAAGCAAAAGCCTCAGCTCACCCTGGGCGATGTCTTGTTTTGTGAGCTCAACACAAACTAGAGTCAGCTGGGAAGTAGGAACCTCATTTGAAAAGTTGCCTCTGTCAGATTAGCCTGTAGGGCAGGCACGTCTGTAGGGCAGCGGTTCTCAACCTTCCTAACGCTGTGCTCCCTTAGCACAGTTCCTCGTGTTGTGGTGACCCCCCCCCACCATAAAATTGTTTCATTGTTACTTTATAACTGTGTTTTTGCTACTGCTATGAATTGAAATGTAGCTATCTGGTACCCAACTCTGAACTCTGTTGGGGGTGGAAACCCACAGGTTTCCAATGCTGCTGTAGGGCTTTTTTTCCTTCAATGGTCTAAGTGGAAAGGCCCAGCCCACTCCCAGTGGTGCCGCCCCCCCCCCCCGCAGGTAATCCTGGGTTGCAGAGGTAAGCCAGCTGAGGAAGCCATGGATAGCAAGCCAGTCAGCAGTGTCCCTCTCCAGCGGCCGCCTCCAGGGTCCTGCCCTGGCTTCTCTCAACCATGGACTAACCTGTTAACTAAAATAAACCTTCCTCCCCAAGTTGTTTTGGTTAATGTTTTATCACAGAGACAGAAAAGCTCACTAGGACACTTTCCAACAGTGTGGGAGGTTGCGCTAAATAAACACCAAGACCTTTACCTAAATTTGGAGTCAGTGAGAGCACTGAGAACAGGCAACGTGAAGTGAAATATTTTCCAGCACAGGTAATGCTGTGACCTGAATGTCTGTAAGGCCCCCATTCACACAGCCTTTTGTTTTTTTAATATTTTATTTATTTAGTGTGTATACAGTCTTCTGCCTGCATGCCAGCAGAGGGCACCAGATCTCATTCAAGGTGGTTGTGAGCCACCATGTGGTTGCCGGGAATTGAACTCAGGACCTCTGGAAGGACAGTCAGTGCTCTTAACCGCTGAGCCATCTCTCCAGCCCCCATTCACACAGCCTTAGCGTCCCCAATCTAAAAATGCAAAATGGAAAATGCTCTGAAACCTTAAAGTTCAGTTCAGAAACAAGTATTCTAGATCTTACATGTGTGTGGGGGGGTAGGGCATAAGATACTCAACTTGTAAGCAAGTATCGAAAAATCTAAAGGAAGAGAAGGGGGAAGAGGCAGAGGAGGAAAAGGAAGAGGGGAGGAGGGGACAGTAGAAAGGGAAAAGGAGGGAGGAGGACAAGGAGGAGGAGGAGCAAACTATGCAGATGTCTCATTTCAGACATTTCAGATAAGGTGTGACCGGTATGTTGAGATTTAAGCCCAGTATGATAGTGTCTAAGCTGCCTTTAGGAATCGTTAGGCCACAAGAGTTCCATCTTCGTGGATAAGGTCTGGTGCCTCGTAAATGGAGCCCCAAAGGGCTTTCTTGCTATGTCTTGCCAGGTCGCTGTCACACCTGTGAGGCACGGGACCTGACCGGACACCAATTCTGCTGGCACACTGACCTTGGATTCCCAGCTTCTCAAACCGTGGGCAGTAAACTCACTTAAAATTACTCAGTAGAAGGTGCTTTGGTAGTGCGCCCAGACCTCACCAAGCAGAACTTACAGCAACCCCTGAGAACAGGGTTTAAAGGGCTGAAACACGGGACCAATGGTGCAGAGCAGTTGTGGCACCTTCAGGCTGAGCTGCGTGCGTCCCTGTTCCTGGGTCTGCTCAGTGGGCGGATCCCTAATCTGACATTCACTTGTTGCAGGGCCCCGGGGCTCTTTTCCATGTAGCTATTCTTTCTGCCGGGGTGATCTCAAAACATCCTCGCCGTTCACGTATGTACATGATACTAGTGATTTGCTAATTACTCTATCTATAGTTTCTACTGTATATATGTATGACTCTCAAGTGCAGAGTTGTCCCCGCTGTGTCCTCAAACTCCTGATCTACAAAGACAATGCCTCCTTTTCTTCGGAAATTTAAGGGTCATTTTATGGTGATTTGAGAGGAAACTAACCACTGGGCAGGCAAGGTGCCTAGAGGAGGCAAGTGAACACAAGGGAAAAACCAGACCTTTGCCTATCTGCTCCATAGCCATCTTTTTTTTTTTTTTTTTTTTTTGGTTTTTCGAGACAGGGTTTCTCTGTATTGTTTTGGAGGCTATCGGTCCAGCGCGGCCTCGAACTCACAGAGATCCTCCTGCCTCTGCCTCCCAAGTGCTGGGATTAAAAGCGTGCGCCACCACCACCCGGCCCATAGCCATCTTAAAAAAAAAACCAGACCTTTGCCTATCTGCTCCATAGCCATCTTAAAAAAAAAAAACAGACCTTTGCCTACCTGCTCCATATCCATCTTTAAAAAAAAAAAACAGACCTTTGCCTACCTGCTCCATGGCCATCTTAAAAAAAAAATGTAATAAGTCTATGAAGATAACAAGAGACTAGAGGCAAGTATAGGTTTGCAGAACAGCAATGAAAACCATTGGTTGAGGATATTAATTTCCTTGAGCAGACTAAGGAAATAGGTGGCCCCTTGGGGAGTTCTTGTATACCAACACCATCTTTGGAAATTTTTACCTTTCACAGAGAGGAAGTACTTCATCTCCAAGAGAACAAAATAAATTTAAACATTTGGGTTGATTACTGGAAACACTCCCTATCTGGGAGAGAAATATTGAATTATGAAATGGCCTCCTCGGGAAAATCTCGAGAGTCGCTATCCAAAATATTAAAAATTAAATCAGATAAAACATTAGCTGGCCTAATGTAGGAAATGATCCTGTTCTGGTTTGGGGGAGAGACTGAAAAACCTATTGGGGCTTTTCTATTATTTATTTTAAAGATTTGCCAAGAAGCAAAACCCACACAGCCGGAACTCCCAAATTGCTCCTGAAGAGCCAGGTTATGAGGGGTCGGACACACTTTGGGTGGTGGTGGTCTTGCTGTATTGAGCCCTGGGAAAGCTCAGCTCACTGACAGAGCTTCCTTCAGTTCCTCTCGGGCATATGACGTTGTCTGTGACTCCTCAGAGTCACCCCCTTCCCGAGTGAGCAGACTGACAAAGAGACTCTGTGAGCTTTGAGGATGGAGATTAAGAAATATTGGGGTTTTAAAATAAAAATGTCAGCTGGGCACAGTGGCGCACGCCTTTAATCCCAGCACTCAGAAGGCAGAGGCAGGCGGATCTCTGTGAGTTCTAGGTTAGCCTGGTCTACAGAGCAAGTTCCAGCACAGCCAGGGCTATGCAGAGAAACCCTGTTTTGAGAAAACAAAAAACGAACCCTGAGATGTATTTGAAAATTTAGAAGGGAATATGGGGCTAGAGAGACGTCTCAGAGGTTGAGTGCTCAGTGGTTGCCCTTGCAGAGGACCTGGGCTTTGATTCCCAGCATCAAGGCAGCTCACAGCCACGTGTGTCTCTGGTTCCAGGATAGCCAACTCCCTCTTCCAGCTCCTGCATTCAAATGGCGCACATAAATTCATGCAGGTAACACACAAACGCGCACACTCCAGTAAGGAAGTGAGCGATGATCTGGTTGGTCTGGCCCTAGTGGTTTCCTTTTTGGGGATGGTATGTGGCGCCATGGGATGCCACCCCTAGAAAAAGACCTTTGAGTGACAAGAGGAGGGAAGCTTCAGATAATGACTCAAGAACTCCAGCCAACTGGTCACAATGAGGTAAAGGGTCTGAGAAGGAATGAGGGAGGACCAGAGGAACATAGCGATGCTGGAGCCAACAGAACGGTTGTAAGGAAAAGATGAGTTTCAGCATCCAAAGTTGCCAACGGGAGTATACTGCAGACAGACTGGGTTGGCAGGGGCCAAGGCTCGAGACAGGGTTTCTCTGTGGCTTTGGAGGCTGTCCTGGAACTCGCTCTGTAGACCAGGCTGGCCTCAAACTCACAGAAATCCGCCTGCCTCTGCCTCCCGAGTGCTGGGATTAAGGGCGTGTGCCCCCAACCCCCGGCCACGGTCCTGATCTTTAACCCACTCATTTCCATACTCTTACTCATTTGAAGCCTATTAAAGAAATTCAAAATTGCTGGTCCAGGCAAAGAGTGGTGTAGGCTCGGGCGTCGCCCATAGAGTCCTATCGGGCGCTTAGGGTGCCACGAGCCAAGGCATGTGACTACTTTATGAAGATGTAAATACCTGTCCGACTGTTTCTCCCCCTCTCGCAAGTTCCTCAGAGACGACCCCTGCTGCTCTTTCTAGTGAGCCTGGTCCATCTCAGTCAACCCACACAAACCCTCGAGCTCCCAGGCATCTATCTCACCTGCAAGGTGGCCCGGCAACCGGGAGGGGAAGTCTCTCAGGGGACCGTGCCGCGAGAAGAGGCCCCGGGAGAGCGAGCGGAACGAGCCTCCGCTTCGGGACCACTTTTCTTTACTGTTCCTCTAGTGAAACGTGCACTTGTGCAACGGCTAAGGGTTCCTTTCTCGTGTTCACAAAACGCAGCACACGAGCACAGGGTGGAGGGTTCTGAGAGTCATCTGTAATTCTTAAATAAAAGGATTCTTTAACTGCTGCAGTCAGTGAGTGTGCATGCCTCGAGGGCATCGGGGAAAAAAAAGAAATACGACATTACTAGGAAAAAAAGTGCTTAAAGATTGTTCTAGCGTTCTCTAGGGTAGCAGAACTTACAGAAATAATATATATTGGGGGATTTATTAGAATTATTTACGGGCTGTGGTCCAGCTAATCCAACAAAAGCTATGAAGGGAAAGTTCAAGAATCCAGAAGTTGCTCAGTCTAAGAGGCTGGACGGCTCAGCTGGTCTTCACTGTACACTAGAATCCTGAAGAAGTAGGCTCTAGTGCCAGTGAAGGAATGGCCTTGCTAGCAAGGCGAGAAAGAGCCAAAGCTTCCTTCTTCCATGTCCATAGAGGCTTCCAGCAGAAGGTGAGACCCAGAGTACAGGTATGTCTTCCCACGCCAGTCTGGACTAGAAGTGGATTCACCCACTCCGAACCAAGTAAAGTCTCTCTCCCAGGTGTGCCCTCCATTTCTGGATTATAGTTCATTCCCGATGAAGTCAAGTTTACAACCAAGAATAGACATCCCAAAGACCTAACCTTTTTTTTTCTAGAATCATTTTTAAAAAGTTGAATGTTATACTTCAGTAAGTATCACCAGTAGTATTTACTTGTTATTATTGCTGAGGATTGAAGCCAGGCTGTTCCACCGGTGAGCAATGCCCCAGCTGCACAGTTGTTTACACAGGGCTGGCTCACAGGGAACTTTCACGTCAGCTTATGTCAGTGGGTCATTACTGCTGTGAGAGTCCTGCTTTCAGAAAGCTGTTCCATTCCAAGCTGATGGCTCGGCACCCGCCCCAGCAGCCCCACTCTGGGTTGGGCAGTCCAAACGGTGGCCTGCCGTAACCAACGCTGCACCAGCCCAAACCTGCGC